CTGATATTCTTCTGGCACCCTGCGTTAGGCCCACCATATGAATTTTGGGCACCTTATCGAAGGCTTTTACCAGGTCCAGGAAAGCTGCATGCAATTCCTTCTGCTTCTCTCTATACTTCTTCATCACTATCCGGGCAGAGTGGATTGCGTCAGTTGTACCTACTCCTTTCACGAATCCGCACTGATTCGGTGACAACTCTATGATAACTCGAAAACGCGTTTCGATTATTCGCTCGAAGATTTTCAGAGTGTGGCTCATCAGTCGGATTGGTCGGTAGGATGATCAGTCTGCTATGTCTCCTTTGATTTCCATATCGGGATCGTCGTGCTTGTGTACCACTCGCGAGGCATACTCTTGCTTCTTATGATTTGAATGAGGAGACTCGTTAGCCATGTGGTTCAGGATTGTCCACGTATTTTACAGAACTCGCTTGGTCTGTCGTTTGGACCAGTCGCTTTGCCATTCTTCGTTCTTTTTATGGCTAGCCATACTTCCTCTTCAGTGACTGCTGGTACGGGTCCTTGTATGGGACTGGCTTCTGAGATGGAGTTGTTAGTGGTGCGGTCTGTGGTGGCAATTTCTTCGAAGTAGGCTCTCCATCTCTCGGTGATGTCCTCTGGTTTTAGCGCCCTACCAAGTTTGTCTTTGATATGGAGGAAGTGTTCCATATCTTTTGTGGATTCCGCTCTTCTTTTCGCTTTCCGGTATATCTCACGTTCTCCCTCGCGAGACTCTAGATGATTGTAGAGCTCTTTCAAGTACACTTTGCATCCTTTACGGTCCTTCGCTCTTCTCTTCTCTTTTATGACTTTTTGCACTTCATCACATCAGTTTAATTCCACTGGAAGACACACTCCTGCTAGGAACGGACCGTAACGGACATGTGGGAAAAAGGCGAGGAGAAGCCGGGAAATGTCACGGAGGCTACGGATACGGAACATGCAATGAAGAAGGTGAGCGCATTCTGGAAGCCTCAGCTCATGATCTGGTCTTGGCGAACACATACTACATCAAGAAGGATGATCACCCCATAACATATGCGAGTGGCGATCGACACAGATAGACTTCTGGGCTATCCGACAGCGTGACTTCAAAAATGTAAAGGATTGCAAAGTCATTCCCGGTGAGAGCTGCATACCTCAACACAGACCACTGCTTCTCGACATTAGAATTCCAATGAATAGGCACACCAAGAGAGCCACAGAGACCGGGACACGCATTAAATGGTGGAGATTGAAACCCAACAACGCGGTGAAACAAGCACTGCTAACACAACTCTACCACGTTTGCAAGATAACTCAGATCAATTCTGGGAAAGCTTGAAAGATCGAGTCGACGGAGTGGCACGCATGATCTTGGGAAGTACAAAGCCAGGAAAAAGAAAGATCAATCGATAAACGTGGTGGTGGAATGATGAAGTGCAAAAAGTCATAAAAGAGAAGAGAAGAGCGAAGGACCGTAAAGGATGCAAAGTGTACTTGAAAGAGCTCTACAATCATCTAGAGTCTCGCGAGGGAGAACGTGAGATATACCGGAAAGCGAAAAGAAGAGCGGAATCCACAAAAGATATGGAACACTTCCTCCATATCAAAGACAAACTTGGTAGGGCGCTAAAACCAGAGGACATCACCGAGAGATGGAGAGCCTACTTCGAAGAAATTGCCACCACAGACCGCACCACTAACAACTCCATCTCAGAAGCCAGTCCCATACAAGGACCCGTACCAGCAGTCACTGAAGAGGAAGTATGGCTAGCCATAAAAAGAACGAAGAATGGCAAAGCGACTGGTCCAAACGACAGACCAAGCGAGTTCTGTAAAATACGTGGACAATCCTGAACCACATGGCTAACGAGTCTCCTCATTCAAATCATAAGAAGCAAGAGTATGCCTCGCGAGTGGTACACAAGCACGACGATCCCGATATGGAAATCAAAGGAGACATAGCAGACTGATCATCCTACCGACCAATCCGACTGATGAGCCACACTCTGAAAATCTTCGAGCGAATAATCGAAACGCGTTTTCGAGTTATCATAGAGTTGTCACCGAATCAGTGCGGATTCGTGAAAGGAGTAGGTACAACTGACGCAATCCACTCTGCCCGGATAGTGATGAAGAAGTATAGAGAGAAGCAGAAGGAATTGCATGCAGCTTTCCTGGACCTGGTAAAAGCCTTCGATAAGGTGCCCAAAATTCATATGGTGGGCCTAACGCAGGGTGCCAGAAGAATATCAGTGATCCAAGTTGATCTACCACAACGCTTCAAGCCAAGTGCAAACAACTGCAGGCCAATCGAAAAAATTCCAAATCAAGGTCGGAGTACACCAAGGTTCAGTTCTCTCTCCCTTGCTCTTCATCACTGTGATGAACGCCGTGACGGAACCGCTCAGACGCGATCCTTCTTGGACAATTCTCTACGCAGATGACGTGGTCTTAATAGCAAGTACCAGAAAGGAGCTACAAGATGAGGTACAAAACTGAAAGAACAGGCTAGAGCTGTATGGCCTGAAGCTCAACATCAGGAAGACAGAGTATATGGAAGTGGGAAAACAGACTCCTGGTACCATAAGCATCGATGGTGAAGAGCTAAAGAAAACAACGTCATACAAGCACCTAGGGGCACTCACATCTCAGCGGAGGGAGGCTTACAAGTAGAGGTCGCCAGCAGGATGAACACAGCATGGATGAAATGGAGAGCCTTAACAGGAGTTCTGTGCGATAAAAGAATGCCAGCGCAACTTAAGTCCCAACTGTACCGCACCATCATCCGGCCAGCAGCATTGTGTGGCAGAATGCTGGCCATGTAAGCGAAGTGAGGAGCGAAAGCTCATTGTCATGGAAACAAGGATGCTACGATAAACCTTAGGAGTCACACTAAAGGATCACGTCTACAATGACACTATACGAGCGCAAATGAAAGTAGCTCCAATTGCCCAGAAAATGCAGGAAAAGAGGTTACGATGGTATGGGCATGTGCGCAGAAGGGATGAAAGTCACATCACGAAATCAGCCCTGGCTGTGGAGGCACCAGGCAAAAGACTCAGAGGTAGACCCAAGATGAGGTGGATGGACAGAGTCAAGGTCGACCTGCGAGAACTTGGTACAGATGAAGATCTTGCCTCAGATAGGACGACATGGAGACGTTTGAAAAATTTAAGCGGACCCTGCTTAAGCGGGACACATGCGAGGATTGAAAATTGAAACGAGGCTGTCCAACTCTGCAAATGTCATGAATGCAAAAAACTTGGAGCCCAGCTTTAGCCCTTTAGTGAGTTCAGGATGACAGCGTCGAACACTGGCCGATACATGAAGATGGTTATGAACAACGGTGTAAACTAAAAAACGTGTGAAGGACGTTTTCAATCGTGAAAATGTAGTGTTCATTCTTGGCAAAACATTGCTCCAGAACTTTCTTTCGTAAATGAGCAAGATGTGATAGAAGCTGTTCCAATGAAGATTGTTGATGGCAAATGTCACTACTGTAATTTCTTACTGAATAAGAGAAAACCTTCCAAACTTTTCTAAATGTTATTTATCATGTATTCTACGCACAGAAGACGCGTGACCGCATCATGGACATTGTCTCAACATGTTTGAGTTTGTTCTTCCCTGTTTTCAAATAGTGAACTAATCGTGGGCGAAATAAATGACAAGTGTAAACCTGCTAAGTACACGATTAAGCTTGTTTAAACAATGTGTGCAAAGCGGTATTGCTCTTAGTCTTAGAATGAATGATATGTGCCTATGAGTAAGAATCAGTGAATATTTTCTGCCGCACTTTCTGCCATTCTCAGCCCTTCTAAAGCGCTGGTTTCAAATTGGCAGTCAAAAAGTAAAATCCCTTAAAAATTTTTGGGCTATTTTGTGAGGACCGTAGACAAGTGCCCCTCGGGTTATCCTTGTCGAAATCAAGCATGAGGTAAACAGTATAAGGTTAGTATAACATCTTCGATTTACTTAAAGGACTGAAAGATAGGTAGGAGCATATTTACAGTGAAATCTTGTCACACGCCCTTCGCACAGAAATGTCTTTATACTTTTGCATATTGAAATACTGTTCATTTTCTGACAGCAGTGATTCGCATGCTCTTGGAAGTGCTAAGCTTTAATAGTGTTAATATGTGCATGGGCCAAGAAGAGTTGCAGGAAGCTCTAACGGCCTTTGAGAACGTAGAGCCTTCTACCTACACTGAGTCTTTCATTTATTAGGTTACAAGATTGCTTTCATATCTCAGAACGTAGAGTGAGAGTGCAGTAAAATGCTAATGTATAAATTCGCACCACCCTAACTTTTTAATTTTATGCCGCTCCGTCAAGGAGTAAAAAAGACAGAAAACCCACGTCCGTCTTCAACGATGCCGTAATGCAAGCGACCTTTGAACTTCTCTCTAGATCAGTCCTCACTCAATTTTTATGGCCTTAGCATGTCTTGTCTAGTAAAGAAATTTTTCTGTTCCATCTTTCGTTGATGTGGTTAATACTACCGACAAATCAGAGGCTTGTCCATAGGACAGAGATTAGCGCTATTGAATGTTGATAATAAATAACGATTATTTTTAAGGCTTTTTTATGTAAAATCTTTGACTTTTCGGTAGAATAAATGCGCATTTTATTAGTTCTTGAATTGATTATGGCTTGATAATCGCATACCCCGACAAACAGACGAAGTAGCCCTTGGGCTTCGGTTAGAGTTCAAGCGAATTAATCGTCACGATTTAATCTCTTCAAGACAAGTGTTACGAGTTTATTGCACGCAGATCTTCTTTTATTTCGGTTGTGATGATTTTAATACGACCAATCGAGACTACTATCGCTACCGAAATACAAGACGATCGACATGCAATGAATTTTTAACACGTCTTGTAGCGATTGGACCGCGACGATCAAATCGCGTAAACTCTAACCGAGGCCTTAGACCGTGATCAATCAAGTCATAGATACACTAACTTCACAGATAAGGTATTTCGAAAAGAACTAAGAAGCATGCATCATGGAAATCACTCACAAACAAAGCACTCACATATCTCTACTGAATAGCAGCCATGGGGGTTTGTTGCCTGGCGCTTGCTGCGAGATCGTGCGACAAAAAATTTTTTTCGTACTCGTAATCCTGACGACTTCTATATTCATCGAAAAATTTTACCATGTAAAACTCACCAGTAAAAAGTAAAAAAGGCGTTTGAATTTCTTCTTTCAACATTTTTGACGCGAACCAAGCAGCTGTCACTAGTTCTCCTGGCAACGCGATAGATCCGAATGATTTGCCTTCTGCAGTAACAGCTTCACAAAATAATGCGCTTTGTTTTTATCGCTATGTTGCAAATGGCATCTTTATGATAAGGTTAAATTTGCATGTTAGGTTATACTGTTCTTCTGGAAATTCTATCTTAACACCATTGAATAACTGGTGAACATGCAACGGCATGGCTATGACTGATATTCTCATCATTATCGGTTGTTTTTCTCGATGCCACAAAAAATAATTTAACTTTCATTTTCCGTTTTAGACAACCACATTCCGCGCAAAAGAGAAGCATAAATGTATTAGATCGCTAAAGATTTGATAACTTTGACTAATGGAAGGCAAATGTAGTGAAATATTCGTGGTGTACCCAAAACTTTAGGGCAGCAAATGCACTTTGATTATGTAAAAAGTATTCAAAAGAACTTTACTTTACGAGGTAAGCAAAGTAATCTTATGTGTAACTATCTGACATGATTCGCCCGCATCATGTGTTTGATGGGCTCATCAAAGAGCAACATTGGTGCGCAACTCTGAAGGCACAACTTACGCTGTGTCGGCTTTTCACTGCCTCTCTTGTGAGTGAGCCTCCCGACCGCAACTTTTGGGTTACCGCATGTTTACCGTAAAATGTAAATGAGTCTACCATTGTTGACAAGAAATTTGTAAGCGGTTTATCAATTGATAAGAGTTCACTTTTCTTCAAAATCCATAAATCAATAGAAGGAGCGAGAATTTCGCTGCGAAAAGTAGGCCTACGAGGTGGACCGGTGTTAAAAACATACGTGTCAAAATTTGGCGCCCATCGGTCCACGCACATTTTCTTCGTAAAGAACACACTAACTGATATGTCATATGTCCTATTGTCTTGAAACCTGGGCATATTGTGACAACTAATTTCAAAGCTCTTCTTCTGTCGTACAGGTTGTATAGGTAACACTTTATTGCCTAACGTTTCGGCACAACACCGTCGTCAGAGGCTCAAAAGGAGTAGTCACTTCGATTCACGACGGCCGCCAAACATCTCCTCCCACTCGACCATTCGATTGGTTTTCAGTGGAAAGGAAGTCTGCGAGTAAAGTTTCACTCACCCGAATGTGCCACCGTAATTTGTAGCAGTATCAGCTGCTTCAGATGTGCTTGGGCCGACTGCGGGATGAGTATAGACAGTCGTGTTATCTGACTGTAATGTTGAGAATAAGCAGTTGCGATGTCAACGAACTGCTTAAATAGGACAAATGATCTTATAGTTTACAGTATGCCAGATACGGCATTAGATGTTCAATTATAGATAATTGTTCATTCTTGTTGTTGATCTTGGGGTCACGGACAAGAATGTAAGATGCCTTGAGGGCCTTTCTAGCGGAGATATTGTTTTCGTAGGCCAAGATTATGCACTTAATGTTTACGTTCTGCCGCTTTTTGCTAGCCAAATGCTCGTTTACGCTCACGCACAATGGTCTATCTGTTTTACCGATGTATATGGCAGAGCACGTTAATCATTCTATTTGGTACACAACGCCAGACTTCAAACAATCTCCAGCTTTTCCATAAGGACGGCGACAACGGCGTTATGCCGAAACGTTAGGCAATAAAGTGTCACCTATAACAACCTCTACGGCAGAAGAAAAGCATTGAAAACCAGTTAACACGACTAATATTTTACCAACACGCAGCTATATCTATAACGATAATGAATTTTGAGAGTACAGTTTTAGTTGAGAAAGTAATGCGGACTTGTTCGATTTGTTGATGTTTTAATGTTCTTCCTCTCTATGTCTCATGTGTTTTTTTGTCTATGTCTTATGCCTGTTTTGTCTATTTCTTGCTTTTCGATTTACTGTCCATGCTAATGACAACGTCATTAAAGGCAGTGTCTCACCAAAATTTAGTTGCCGAGATTTTTGCATTTTGCAAGCCTGTCGGACCCTGTCTAGCACTGTATGGGCTTAAAATCGCACGAAGTTCCCAAAAAACCCCGCTCTCTGGGGGCCATGTGGAAGCAACATGGACGAGTTGTACCTTCCAACTTCAGCCTCAGCCACAGTGGCAGCAACAGAGGGGAGGTGGATGCCAAGTGGAGGGACATGTTCAAACGCGTACGGGGGGGAGACCGAAGGAGTCGTCCGCGCGCACCAACTCGCTCTCCGCGTACCACTTTGAGAAAATTTTTCTCAGCGTGGAGAGGGTCAAATTAAGTGGGACCTGTTGCATTGGCCTATTCAAAGCTCCCTGTTACAGAATATGTGAAGATCCGCGCGACCTCAACTTTGGTGAGACACTGCCTTTAATCATGAGACATCCAATAACAAATGTCAACAAAAGAGGAAAAGGCAATACGTCAAGAGAAGAGGAAAAGGCAAACCCATTGTTCACATGTGTATTTAACCCAATAAGGTTGAGTTGCAAATGTTTTTTTTTTTTGAAATTGAATGCGTTTTCTTGCTAATGCACATATTTTGTCGCCATACTGCGACCTCCTTCCCATATCAGTTGTACAACCCTTGCTTTCTCTTTTCTCATTCTGGTTGCGCAATCCGACCCAGTCCTCCTTGTTTGCGAGTTTGAAATGAGCAGAAACCAATATGATAAGCAGATCTAGAACCATCTACCTTGCTTGGGCCCGTTATATCTTACACGGATAAAAAAAACCCATTCAGTTTTTTTCGCACTCTGCTTGAGTAAAGGAGCTTTTGCGCATTGCTATAATTATTCTCCATATACAGTGAGCCATCGAGGCAAACTTGTTCCACTACTAAATTGCTCAAAAGCTGCTTACTATGCGCTCAAAGCAATGATAATCAAGCGCTCAAACTGTGTACAGATAAGCTTATCTCGATACGAGCTTCGCAATCATTTTTATTCACTGCTTGAAAAAATCATAGACTTATGTAAATTTTTGAAACGAGTAGCGTAGTGGTAGGCGGCGCGTTATGACCAAATCAGACTAAGGTTGGATTCCACGCTTGTTTTTATAAAGGCGAAACAGCTCAAAACGTTTACTCAAACAACGTGGTCGCTGTGGTGAACGACGTGGTGCTCAGCTATGATTAAAACAATCTTCCTCTTTAGATTGTTTCCGCCATGTGAATTTAGCCAAATATATTTGCATCTGAAAGCCAAGTCTGCTCTACCAAAATCTTCACTCCCTATTCCATATCAGTAAAATTTGAAAAGTTTTTACATCAAATTTGGAAAACCAAAAAAAGAATCCATCGACAACTTGATTATTGATTGACTCGACAATTTAGTTCGCCCCGTTCAGGTCACAGTGCTTACGAAACAGCTCGAAAAATCTGCTGAGTCAAGGAAAGAATGCTATGACTTCTGCAGAGGTTCAAAAGTGGTGGAAAGTTCCAAAAACTTTCTTCTTCAAACTCAAAAAAACTTGTTTTCTAACCTCAGTTGACCGTGGCCAACTGAAGGTAGTCCTGAGAAAGCACGGTAGACACATAATGCAGAAAAAGCCGAAAGGATAGTCTTTGGCTATAAAACCATCAAGTGCATAAGTCAGTTACTAAAAAATTCAATATTTGAGGGACACACAGCTTAGGAAGGCGAAGAGACGAACAACGCCGCAGCAAATTTTTGCTTTGCCGACTTTCGCAAAAATGTCATCAAATAGTTGTTGAAAGGGAGAGAATAAGCACAAACAGTGACATTACAAATGTCTACTGTTTTGCTTGTTGGTAAAATATTAGTCGTGTTAACTGGTTTCAATGCTTTTCTTCTGCCGTAGAGGTTGTTATAGGTGACACTTTATTGCCTAACGTTTCGGCATAACGCCGTTGTCGCCGTCCCTTATGGAAAAGCTGGAGATTGTTTGAAGTCTGGCGTTGTGTACCAAATAGAATGATTAACGTGCTCTGCCATATACATCGGTAAAACAGATAGACCATTGTGCGTGAGCGTAAACGAGCATTTGGCTAGCAAAAAGCGGCAGAACGTAAACATTAAGTGCATAATCTTGGCCTACGAAAACAATATCTCCGCTAGAAAGGCCCTCAAGGCATCTTACATTCTTGTCCGTGACCCCAAGATCAACAACAAGAATGAACAATTATCTATAATTGAACATCTAATGCCGTATCTGGCATACTGTAAACTATAAGATCATTTGTCCTATTTAAGCAGTTCGTTGACATCGCAACTGCTTATTCTCAACATTACAGTCAGATAACACGACTGTCTATACTCATCCCGCAGTCGGCCCAAGCACATCTGAAGCAGCTGATACTGCTACAAATTACGGTGGCACATTCGGGTGAGTGAAACTTTACTCGCAGACTTCCTTTCCACTGAAAACCAATCGAATGGTCGAGTGGGAGGAGATGTTTGGCGGCCGTCGTGAATCGAAGTGACTACTCCTTTTGAGCCTCTGACGACGGTGTTGTGCCGAAACGTTAGGCAATAAAGTGTTACCTATACAACCTGTACGACAGAAGAAGAGCTTTGAAATTAGTTGTCACAATATGCCCAGGTTTCAAGACAATAGGACATATGACATATCAGTTAGTGTGTTCTTTACGAAGAAAATGTGCGTGGACCGATGGGCGCCAAATTTTGACACGTATGTTTTTAACACCGGTCCACCTCGTAGGCCTACTTTTCGCAGCGAAATTCTCGCTCCTTCTATTGATTTATGGATTTTGAAGAAAAGTGAACTCTTATCAATTGATAAACCGCTTACAAATTTCTTGTCAACAATGGTAGACTCATTTACATTTTACGGTAAACATGCGGTAACCCAAAAGTTGCGGTCGGGAGGCTCACTCACAAGAGAGGCAGTGAAAAGCCGACACAGCGTAAGTTGTGCCTTCAGAGTTGCGCACCAATGTTGCTCTTTGATGAGCCCATCAAACACATGATGCGGGCGAATCATGTCAGATAGTTACACATAAGATTACTTTGCTTACCTCGTAAAGTAAAGTTCTTTTGAATACTTTTTACATAATCAAAGTGCATTTGCTGCCCTAAAGTTTTGGGTACACCACGAATATTTCACTACATTTGCCTTCCATTAGTC